TGAAATGAAGAGATTTCTTAATAAATACATTTAAAAATATGGAGAAGAGAGACATAAGTTTACTAATAAAAAAATGTTGCTCAGTATAAAATTATAAAATTATTATTGTTACCGCGGTGGTTGTAACTTTTATTTCTGCTTTATTTACCGTGAATTTCAGGAAATAAATTGGGATGAATATCAAAATGGAGAGAATGGGAGTCACCAATCTTGGAATGAAATGAAGAGATTTCTTAATAAATAAATAAATAAAAATATGGTGGAAAGCAAAATTTAAGATTTGAAGAGATGTAAAAAAATGTTGTATTTAGTATATATACTTTTCTTAACGGGATTTAAAAAAATTTTGTTGGATTTATACGCCATCATAAAATGTTGAAAATATCGTCAAAGTTATTAGCAAATAGGTCCTTTTCGCTTTCTTAGGCTTGAAAACAAATTTAAAAATTATTTTTCGAAAGAAAAAGACAAAGTTTGTAAGTATATTTTTTTATTTCCAATTTTGTTATCATTAATTAAGTAGATCAAAAGCTTTTACACTTATCTTTCTTCATTATAAAACAATTTTGAAAGTTATTTTTCGAAATAAAAAGATATAATAGAGGCAATTCACGCCCTCCTTCGTAACTACGTAAACAGCGTAAAATCCGTAAACTTACAAACGTTTACAAACTTTTACAAAAATTGCCAAGGAAAACCAGTTTACAAACTTTTGTAAACTTACGCAGCTCACAGGCGTCTTTTAATTTTGTAAAGTATTTTGTAAACTCAATTTGGGGAAGGAAAAAAATTGCTCGATACAGAAATTTGGCAATATATGTTGCTAGTGACTCCTAATCAAAGAATATGAAGTGAAATTGGAAAATTTATCAACCGGAGGTACCCGAGGGGGTGACCCATACCGATTTTTCAAAATCATCCAATCGAGCTGTAATCATCCAAATTAGTTCACGAGTTTTTTAAGATTCGGCGTCAGCTGATTAGCTCGGGTCCTTCTCCAAAACAGTTTACCCAAAATCCTGACTGTTTGGTTTAATATTACTTAGCACACTTCCAGCTTTACCCTCAATCGTCATTTGACCCAGTGGGTCCACTTTCAAGGTCAGCAGGTCAATTTTCCCGTGCAGGCTCGGATTGATCGCATTTTGGGGCAAAATATCATCGATATTGGAGAGCCCACATTATTTGATTCATTACGGATTCTTTCATTATTAGATACAATAATTATCTGGGGTTATAATAAAAACAATTTTTCACCTCTGACCTCCTTGGTAATCATGCCACATGAATAATTAAGTTTAGAAAGTGTTTTTACGGCACCCTCCAACTCTGAGGGCCCTGGAGGGGACATTTCTGAAGCTATCACCCTAAAATTTTGGATATATCTTTTTGATGATATTATCTTGCTTGCCTACGAAAATCAGCTCAAAATTAGAATTTGCACCAGAGATATTCAAGCGCGAATTCGTTTAAAGCGTCATAATTCGCCTTTTGTATGACGTGAAATTGGTAAAATTTTCGCATCCGGGACCCGAGGGGGTCACCCATACCGATTTTCATAACTTGTCTCAAAAAGCTGAAATTCGGAACGGTGATACTTAATAGCTTCTCATGAAAGAATATGAAGTCAAAGATGAACACAAAATAACCAGATGGGCAATAAGGAAGGGGTACCCATACCGATTTAAAAGAATTTATATATTCAGCTAAGATTTAGTGTGGAGTCGAAAAATAACTTAGGATTAGAATTTAGGAGGGTTAACAGCCTCCACTGTTCGTGGTATTTATTATATCAATAAATGCAGCTCCACAAATTTCTTCCATTAATTTCCTTTTTCTGAAAATGATCTTCATTTTGTTTCAATTATCAGATAAATTTTTACAAAAATAATTACGAAAGTGAATTCACGGGAAGCTGTTTGTAAACGTTTGTAAGTTTACGGATTTTACGCTGTTTACGTAGTTACCAAGGGTGCGTGAATACCCTCATAGTTTGAAAGCAGATTTTTTAATTTTCAATCTTTTAAATAATTTTGTTAGATTTGTACGTCATTATAAATTGTTAAACATATATCGATGCAGTTTAATAAGTAGATACCTGACTTGATTGCTGGAATTTTATATTATTTTTTTAAGTTTATGGATTTTACAAGGAAGGCCTTAACGATTTAAATATATGCCTCTATAAGACCAATGCTATGTAAATTATGTAAATTCCCAAGAGATTTATTTTCATGTTCTGTTATCATGTACTTTTCCAATACGGAAAATCTATTTAATTTTTCATTTCTTTAAATTTATCACGTTTAAAATCTGCTGTTAACTTTACATAAATAATTATGTGAGTCTCTATTTTCGAAATGTGACAATTTCGACCTTGTCCACCTTGTTTGTTTACCTTTTCGTGGACGTGGAGACTAACTGTGTTAACTTTTGCCTTGTTTTTTTTCTCGTCTGTATATAAATGTGCAAATTAAGTGTGGCTTTAAATCTGGCATTAGGATAAGTTTGGCTTAAAAATTCAAAATTTTGAGAGGAATTTTATATAATGAGGAAAAACTTTGTGAAATCCGTGCGTTTAGGAGAATAATTTTACAAACTTTTACAATCTAAAAAGATGCCCTTGATCGGAGCAAGGTTACAAAAATTTGGAAGATACTCTTCCTGTAACCTGGTAATCATGCAATAATTGATCTAATAATTGTTTTAATAAGTTTATACAACTCACAAAAACACAAATAGACATCCAACTTTCTCAAATACTGCGCTAAAATGTTTGTAAATCTTGTAAAAAATTGTAAAATTGCATTGTATGGATTTAACACTGAGACAATTCACGCAATCTTTTGTAACTTTGTAAAGTCTGTGCAGTTTGTAAATTAGCTTTGCAAACATTTACAAAATAAGTAAAGGGCAGACGCCCTTGCTCAGAGTAAGTTTACAAAAATTTGTGATCTAATTTTCCTCCTAAATTATTGTAGAATTTTGTAAAAGTTTGTATATAAGTTTACAGATTTTCCAATGTTTCCAAGGCCTGCGTGAATTGGCTAAATGTGTGTATTCATAAATCTGTAATTTTTTCGTGTTAATAAAAAAGTATACATTTCTAATTTTTCTTGTCAAAAACGGTTCCCAAAAAGTGTGAAAAATTGTCTCGTGCTTGGTGACACAAATCCGGTCCACCTCCACCTCTGTGTCCAACCCTTGTCACTTTTGTATAATTTTGACACTTAACCCGATTCCCACGTCCCACCTATTACCAGAATTAGTACCATTTTTCTTTTCTTTTCTTAGTCCGGTATTTGTAAAGTGATATCCATCCATCCCTTTATTTATTTACTAATCCCTCAATTTTCTTCGAGTTGAAGGGTTGTAAATAATAATTTGTACTCGTGATACGTTGGGCTGGTCAAGCGTTTAAGGGATCTGATTGCATTTTGAGAGGAGATATTTTCCATCGGTCGGGATGATGGGTGGGTGGTCGGCTCGCTTAATTTTGGAGAGATGGACATGATCAGACATTGATAATAAATAGATGGAAGATATTGGTATTTAGGAGGGAGGATAGTGCACAATACGTAGCGTGTCTTCTTCTTCATGGTCGGCATGGGGTTGTCTTTTTCTCAGCAGTGATTAAATACCCGTAATAAAAGAGAGAAGTAGAAGGACCACACCCACCAACTATTTGAAAATGTGGGTATAAATAGTCTCTAAATTGTTATTATTACGGGAACTAAGGCAGGTTTGGATGTTTTTGTATGTATTTAAATGCAAACAAATTTCCTGTACGAATTTTTTTCAATGAATTTTCTACAAGAATTTTCTGCACAAATTATATAATTGAATTTCTAATTGGATTTAAATTTCCACGTGCATGTTTTTATGAATTTTATTAGGATGCAATTGTATGTATGTATGTAAATACAAACAAATTTCCTGTGCGATTTTTTAAACAATTTTCCTTCGTGAATTTTCTACATAAATTTTAGGTACGAATTTTTACGTGCATATTTACATGAATTTTTTTATACGTCGCAAAGAATACATGTTTAAGAGGTAGATAGATATATGCACAAATTATTTTTATATGCGTCAGATTTTGGGAAATTTTTATAAAATTGTTCAATTCTGAAAAATCTGAGAATTAAATTGTTTGCTAGTCGCTTTACGATTAAATTACTCACCACTTACCTAATGATTACGAATTTATATTAAACTGAACATTATTTTTTAATCGGCGTCAAAATGTGACAAATTTTAGGAAATTGTTTATATAAAACTGAACATTATTTTTTAATCGGCGTCAAAATGTGACAAATTTTAGGAAATTGTTTATATAAAACTGAACATTATTTTTTAATCGGCGTCAAAATGTGACAAATTTTAGGAAATTGTAAAATTCTGAAAAATTTGGGAATTCAAGTTTTTGAGTGGGTGTTTTACTATATGTATGAGATGGCAATCTGTCCAGTGAAGGGGAGGAGGACTCCACCCACTTAAAATGTAGGTATTTATAACCAGTCTCATATTAAATATTGGTAAAGATTGTTTAAAACATCGACTCCAGAAAGCAGGGAAAAAAAGACCTGACGATTGGGCTATTATGATGTGAAGGTAAAAATTATTTTCTAATCGGCATCAAAATGCGACAAATATTAGAAAATTCTTAAATCCTAGGGGAATTCAATTTTGTTAAGATGATTAAGGAAGATTGATCCTTCTCTTAATTAAAATGGATAAGAAGCAACAATCCAAAACCGGTAATAGGACAATACCGAATTGGTAAAACTTTACCATTTAAACGGGAACAAAATATTGCAAAATTGGCCGAATTGGTAAAAAAATACACACATTTCTGTTTGGGCATCATTTAAACCAGGAGAAAAACATTACCAAATCGGTAATCTCTCTCATAATCACATCACAAATTTATATATAAATTTCTAACAGTGCCCCATACCAAATAAAATATGTGACAAAACCTTACCAAATTGGTAATCTCTCATTTCATAATTTATTTCAAAATTTCATAAATTTCTAACACTGCCCCATACCAGCTAAAATACATACATTAATACTTCGTCTTAATCCATCACGTAAAAATACAGCAGGGACATATTTACAAATCCCGTTCGTAAATATGCATCCATCCTCGTCCTGGGAAAAACTTGCCCAAATATTTTGACCATTTTTCCCTTCACACGAAATCCTCCAGAGTCTCACTATCTTCACTTGAGTGAATAGAAAAACGTGCCTTAATAAGTCCCCAAAGGGCAGAAAACCATCATCCATAAATTCTCCTACATACATAAAATCCAACCTGAATGAAAACTCAAATCTTAAACAGAATGAAATCCAATGACTACATAAACTCGACTCAATTTATATTTATATTTAACCTTGTCTCTCGATTAGATTCACTGATTGATTGATGGATCATCATCAGCAGCATCACCACCGTAAAATAAAACCAACCACCACTTAACACAACAGTACAATACATCGTTACGTAAGCGGAACTAATGTCCCGCCACAAGTAACGTAAAGTAGTAAGTAAATCGCTATTAAGAAGCCAGATTATTCTATTTATTACACATTTTATTAATAATCCTACTGTCTCGCTACACTTAAATGGAGCTCGTCGATGCAATTATTTACGGGAAGAATTAAGTGGATAATCGCCCCAATCAACAAGTATTATCGGCAGATTTATTGCGCATAAGTGCAATTCGATCCGGCATAATTACTGTATTTAGTTATGCGCAAGGTGAGACGCTAATAATACGCTGAGCCACCCACGCACCTACCTACATTTGAAAAGAGCATGCAAACAGCACGTGGTCAATTTAAGGTATCAAAATTAGCTGAATATTTTGAGATTGTTCTGAAATTTTGAACCCACGCTCCTCAAAGTAAGTAGATTTCCTACAGAATTTGCATACAGTTAATAAGGGGTCATGTTATCGGGGTCAAAATTAACCGAAAATTCCCGAACCAGTTGAAAATTTCCAACTTGAGCGTCCTTAAAATAAATTTCCTGCAGAATGTGCATACATTTCATCATCGGGTCGTGTTATGAGGGTAAAAATTTTCGCCAAAATTTCTGCAGCGTCCTTAGAGTAGATTTCCTGCACAATTTCTGCACTCACTTCACACAGGAAAAGTTGTTCATGTTGTCGGATAAAGAAAATAATTATAATCTCGGTTTGTTCCTTCGTTCCTTGGTTGGGTGAGCGATCCATCCATCCAATTCACCTACGTAGGAGGAGGAGATGATTCTTATCACGGTGTTGTTGAGAGAAACAAAAGTTACTCCGTTGTTCCTACGTGCTTGCATATTATACATTTTCAATAAAAGAAGTACCTTCTTCTTTTGTTTGATGGGAAACGAGCGAGTGGAGTGGATCAATTTTTTTTCTCTGCGTTATAATAACTAAACAAAACCAAGTAATCTATCCGAGGCGGCGAGGCTACTGCGGAGGAAAAAGCAGGTTGTGATGTGACTGTTGTTTCGAAAATACATGGCAAGAGAAACCACAAACACGAAGGAATAAGAAAGAATATTGTTTTCTCTCGAGGCACGGTTTTTAGCTGGGAGAGAGAGAGAGAGAGAGGGATATGCGGAATGGATGGGGGATTTTTGGGTGGATTTCATACCATTTTTGGCGTATTTTTAGGAAATTTACGCATTTTCTGGTGATTATAGATGAAATTTAAGAGGTCATCAAGGGTATGAAATGCCCGTAATGGATGAATCATCAAGGGTAACACGTTCCGGTCAAAGGTCAATGATATACTGAAAGGATGGCGTGATGGGTGGATTTTGGGTAGTTTTCGTCCCCAGTTTTACGTATTTTTTAGGTAGAAATTGACTCATTTTGTGGCTATTAGATGGAAATTAAGGCTTAAAAATTACCCTGATAAGTGAATCATGTTCCGGTCGTAGGTCAATAATACGCGAAAAGGATGGTGTGATGGGTGGATTTGCGGGTAGTTTTCATCCCCAGTTTTACATATTTTTACGTAGAAATTGGCCCATTTTGCGGTTATTAGATGGAAATTAAGGCTAAGAACGCTGATTGGTCAATCATCAAGGGTAACACAAAATCCAGGTCATAGATCAATAATTTTGAACATAACCCAGGCAAAATTTCCCCTCAAATAATGACTTCCTTTCTGCACGGTCCACCTTATAATACCCGACCGACGTCCGGATAAACATGAAATTTTGCCTGCTTGGTAAATCAATTCACATAAAAAAACTGACTAGACGTTGCGGAAAAGAGTAGAGATTTGTGAGAATGATATCAATATTTTTAGTAAATTTGTACGTACATGCAGTCCAGTAAATACATAAATGTGAAGTGAAATAAGAATCAAGCTTGTTGTAACGTCGGATGTAATTTATAATCTGACAAAAATTGGATGCACTCGCACTCCTGACTGCGCACAGAATTTGTAATTATTTTTGAAAAAGTACTCCTTCATTCATATATATTTAATATTAATTATTTGCGCTAAATGCGATTCACTTAATAAATTTGTAATGATGGTCTTCCGTTCAGAGGAGCTTATGCAGTTGTTTATTAGGCAAATGCATTATGTGCTATGTTATTTTTGCCCGTTTTTTGCCAGGTATCATCATGAAACTGATAAATTAGTAGTAAATGAGAGGAGTGGAAAAATGACATAGCACGTACTCGTACATAATGCATCTGTTACACAGAAACGTGAATAGGTATGTGGACATGTGGGTACTTTGTTTGTTAAGAGGCAAATTGAGATTTTTATGAATTTTCTACGTTGATTTTATTCTATGTGAATTTTCGGCATGAATTTTTGTTAGCATTTTCTGTATGAATTTTATAGATGAATTTTTGTATGCATTTTCTGTATGAATTTTATAGATGAATTTTTGTATGCATTTTCTGTATGAATTTTATAGATGAATTTTTTGCACGAATTTTATGTACGAATTTCTACGCGAATTTTTGCACGAATTTTATTTATGCATATTTTTCTCCACAAATTTCCTGTACGAATTTTCTACATGGTTTTTACAAATGAATTTTCTATATGCATTTTTTTGTATGAACTTCTAAATGAATTTTCTGTATGAATCATGCACAAATTTTATGCATGTATGAATTTCTACGTGCATTTTTGCATGCATTTTCTCCACAAATTAGGTGTACCAATGTTCTAGAATGAACTTTCTACAAGAATTTTCTACAAGAATTATCCACCCGATTTTGTTTGTATGTTTTAACTGAGAATCATTTTCCTTTATTCAAACCGTTATCTTATTCATACTGAAAATAAGGAACTTTAAACCTTTTTTATTTACCATACTGAACTGACATTAAGTAAATATTTTAAATAATTGTAAATATTTAATGACATTTTCTCCCCAGGATTTTTATTAAATATTTATTTTAATTAAATAAGAAATTCTTACTTAAGTTTATATGACTTTTATTTTTTCATGGAGATTTTAAAATCGACTCGTAACTAAAATTACGTACATTTTGTCGTCGCAATAAAATATTTATTGGATATTTTTCAAAATCTGGACTGGAATTTGGAGATTCGTTTTTTTCCTGGAACTTTTACATATTTCTTTTCTCGCCACGTTTTTATTATTGTTTTGTTGCTCGTTTGTTTATTTGTTTAATTAATTAATTATTTATTTACTGTCCATTTATTTACTTAAGTAACTAATTTGTGGTGTAGAATAATTAATTAATTATTAATTAATTACCTATTTTATTACTTAGGTGGATAAATCGTATACAGAATATCACTCACTAGAAGACTACTACACGCATGTACTTATTTTGAAATACGTATTTTTGATCGTATACACGTTTCTGAAATTTGTGCCAAGTCTAAAAAAATGCGATTCACTCGGATATTTGTAAATTCGGTAAAAACAAAAGAAAAAACTTGAGGGATGGAAAGTATGGTGCAAAATTTCTACAGTATTCTGATTTTGTCTCTAAATTTTCAGTAAATGTGCAAGAGATGTTTATTTTGCTTTGCAGTTTTGCAATTTTCACAAAATTCGGAACACGAGCAAGATTTGTAATCTGATTTTGCTCTGAAATTTTTGCAAAATTCATAAGAGGAACTTATTTTCGCAAAAATATGATAAAAAACCTGATTTAGGCTCAAATTTTTGTAATTTGCGATAAATATGCAAGAAAGAGATGGTTATTTCGGTAGGAAGTTTTCGCAATTTTCATAAAAAGTTCCAGTTTCTGTTTGATCTTTACAACTTTCAAATAATATCATAAGTAAAAAAACCTGGTTTTGGCTCGAAACTTAAGCAATTTTGCTTCCTAAAAACCTTTGAAAAGTTACAAAAATCCGAGTGAGCCGGATTATAGACTGCCGTGGATGAAAAATGAAACTTCTTTACTACAAATTGGTAAGCCCATACGGACCTTGGGGTGGACCAGAAGACGGCGGCGGCGGCGGCGACCCGGACGATTTAAGCATTTGTTGCAAATCTAGAAATCCATTATTTGAGCTTATTGAGATATTTGACATGGCGCCGATCTGCTGCTGCTTGACCTGGTGACCTTTTATCGTCGTATTCGTATTTGGCGGGGGAGTGGTTTCGGACGCGGGATGATTTGAAACTGGCGCTTGTTTATTCTTTCTCCTCACGTTTTTCGTATTTGGTAACTTGTTATCCTTTTTGTATTTCATGCGCCTATTTTGAAACCATATTTTAATCTGGCGCTCCGAGAGGACGAGCGAGTGCGCGATTTCGATCCTGCGCCTGCGCGTGAGGTAGCGATTGTAATGAAATTCCTTTTCCAGCTCGAGTATCTGGTGGCGCGTGTAAGCGGTGCGTTGCCGTTTGGTGTCCAGGGATGAGCCGGAAATGACGAAATTGCTGTCCCGACCTGAAACGTGGAGGGGGAAAAGAAATAGTTTTTTAGAATTTTGAGTTGTTTTGTGGGAAAATAATTTTGAAATGGGGGCATTTTAGATGGGACACGTGGTTGGACATATTTTTGGATTTTTTAACTTATGTGGTATTTTTAAAGGAAATGTACGCTTTTAGAGAGAAATTTTGATTAAGAGAAACTTATTATTATGGAAAACTAATTTCTGCGTGAAAATTGCATTTTTTGCAAAGGCAAAATTCAATTTTTTTGGCTAAAGTTGCAATTGCATTTTTAAAGAAAAATAGCAATTTATTTTACGGAAAATTTTACATTTTTGAAAGTTAGTTGCATTTTGAGATCAAAATTGTATTTGGAAACAATTTTTATATAAAAAAAATGTATTTATAGGTGTAACTTTGATGCCAAAATCCAATTTATTTAAATAGAATTAGAAAACATTTAATTTTAAAGATGTGCTGTTGTCATATGATTTGTCGTGAATTGGCAATTTAAATATTCAACAAAATGTCTGCATATTTAATCGGAATTTGTATTTCCATCCTCATTTCGGACAGCAGTCATAATGACACTTTTAAAGCAAAATTTTATTTATTTTCGCAAAAAAATCGCACATTTAAAGAAAATTGAACATTGTCAACACCAAAATTTTCACTATTGCAACTAATCGTTTCATATTTAATCAGATCATAATTATAGTCGAGGCATTATAAATAAAGCCATTTTTTCATAAATATACGTATCTCTGATTGCGACAAGTTATCAGAATCATATTACATCTTTTTTACGAAAATAACGCTTTTACCAAAAAAAGTGCACATTTTAACACCTAAATTTAAAATATTTCATTTAACTAATCACCTCATATTTAATTGTGATTTTGATTCAAATCATGACACTTAAGAAAAATTTAATTTTTTAACTAAAATTATGCGTTTTAAAAAATTTGTGCCGATTTAGCACCAAAATTGAACATTTTGAATTTAGCTAATCCTTAAATAATTAATCAGATGTTATTGTGACTCTCTACTATGACCACTTTTAAACAAAAATTGTACTTTTTCCCAAAAATCGCACTTTTTCCCAAAAATCACGCATTTTAAAAAATTTGCATACTTTTGACACCTCATTGGAAAATATTTAATTTAACCAATTACTGCATATTTAATCAGATGATGTTTGCATCGATCCATAACACATCTCCGACAAGTTATTATTATCATGACTCGTACATTGGAGAAAGTGGTGAAAGTTGGTGGTTTGGTTTTCGAGGTGACGTTGATTTGTGGCTGGTCGAGTCCCTAAATCATGTCACCCAACGAACAACCTAACTCTTCTTCTCACTTTCTTCTCTCTTCTCCCAGCTCTTTTTTTATTACCGACGAACAACAACTAACTGTTGAGCCAGCCACTGTTATCCATTAGCTTTTCATTCATTTATTACGTATTATGTGCGGCACTGCAATAACTCATCTTTACCCATGAAGAAGAAGAATAAGAAGTTAATTACGTCGTTGGTCGTGGTCGGACAAAAATATTTATGCGACCGGATTATTTACCGATGTAAATCTCTTCCTGGAGAAATAAAGTGACTTGCCAACAAGTAAATAAGTCGTAAAATTAATATGAATAATAATAATTGTCGTATTTTTCCATCCATCCATTCCGCGAATTTGTTTACGCATTATTTTGCGTCGAAGTGACGCCGCAAAAACAAATATGGGTAGTTGCGAGAGGTAAAATGGAATAGATTTTTGGGAATTCCATCAATAATTGTGGAAGAATCATGCACTGTTTAAATTTTAAGAAAAAATGTAAAATTTAGGAAACTTATTTCATGGAGATTATATATGCATAGAAATTAGCAAGATTTTTACACGGGATAAATTACGTAATATGTAAGAATATGACGAATTTCCTATTTTAAATGAATATTTGCTTGTAGATAAACGCCATTTTAAATTAATCTTTAAAAATATTGTGATTAATTTGGAAATTTTGGATAAAATTTGCCATTTTATTTTGGGTTCGTTCATTATTTTCTCCTCTTGAAACAGATGTGGAAATTTTCAACTTTCTTTCCAGTTTTTTAGTGGTTGCATACATACATTTCCATTTTAATTTCTCTATTTTGAAAATTTCTTCATGATCTCCAATACTTGTACTTCAAAACATATTCATCTCTCCTTGCGAAAAACTAAACCATGTGTAAAAATCCAATCCATACGTAACAACAAATAACCATAAAAATAATTTCACCTTAACTTGTACCTCATACAAAATTGAAATTCAAAATATTTACGTATGAATGAACAGAACAGAGGAAAACATAATACGAAACGACATGTAAATGTAAATCCTGTCTGTCCAGCATATTTAAAATGTTTCTAGTTGATACAGAATTGGAAATTTCCAAGTTTCTAGTTACACAGAAATTTCTCTTTTAATTTCTCGATTTTGAACGAAATTTTGAAAATTTCATGACTCGATTTCCAATGCTTGTATCAAAAATCTTTTCATCTATCTCTCCTCTTAAAAAAGTAAAACATGTGCCAAATGCCAAATCCATATGTAACAAGACTACGTATAAAAATTATTTCACCCTAACGAAATTTCCCTACGTATCGTAAATAATTCTCGATTTTGAGCAAAATTTTGAAAATTTCATTACTCAATTCCTAATACTTATACCATAAAAATGTTCACCTATCTATCCACTTAAAAAAGTACAACATATACCAAATCCAAATCCATCCATACGTAACAAGAAATAACTACAAAAATAATTTCACCTTTATGCAAGCAAGTTCTAACCCATACAAAATTGAAATTCAAAATATTTATGTATGAACAGAGAACAGCAGAAAACATAATATGAAACGACGTGTAAATGTAAATCCTGTCCGTCCAGCATGTTAAAATGTTTCTTCTCCATCCTTGAGTTAAGGCGACTCGTTTAGTTTAAACTGGTCAAGTAACGAGTTCTTTTTGTTGTTATTACGTGACCAAATTATTCACAAGTTGACTTTTATTTTAATTTTATTATTATTTCAAACTCGAGAAGGAGAAGTTTCTTCTCGTCTCGTCGTTCAGCGAGAGAGATGGATTTTATTTTATTTCATTTTTTTATTTTAGCAGAGAGAGGAAGAAATGTGTATATGCTGGTTTTGAATAATGATCGCAGTACGGAAACATGACACACCGTGTGCTCTCTGTCTACACGGTCTTATTTTTATCGCATTATGAATCACTATTCTTTTACTGGGACGGGAAGGAAGGGAAGGACACTCTAAAAGAAATGGGGGGTTTGGTTTGGTAACAATTTTTTTTACCAGTGGTAAAATGGTTTTTGGTAAAAAAAAATATTTATACAAATTTATGTAGTTGAAGAAGTAGAAATGGAATTTATCTGACTGAGAGACAGAAGATAGGTCTGGTTTGGACAAATTTTCACCGGAGACGGTGGTAAAATGGTTTTTGGTAAATACTCTGTAGGTTTGGTTTGGTAACAAAATTACAAGAGATGATGGTAAAACGAGTTTTGATGAACCACGTGGACTAAATTTTCCAACGGAGGTCTAATTCATCTATATAAATTGTCATGCAATCACGAATCTCCAAATTTTTAACTGATCGGCATCATTCAAATTTATCAGTATGTATATATTAATTACATATTAACAAAATTTGAAATTAGAGATAAAGTTTTGTAAAACCAGGTCATAGAATACAAAATTTGTGCTGCCAATAACTGTGTAAAAAATTCTACAAACTTTGGTCGTACATAGTTGGTTGAAATTCATGGTACGCAATTTTTACCAAGGGTGGTATAAATTTAAATCACTGTTTAACCAGAGTTAGTAAGATTGTTTCCAAAAATCGGTCAACAAAAGTAGTTTTCCTAATTTCGTGGTAAAAACATATCTGAAATTTGGATGGAAATAAATAATCTGCTTTTTATAGCCCGAGCATCCAATTATTTAGAGTGATGGCTCTTGATTATTCGCTCCTTCTGTTCTGCACGAGAAAGAGGAGATAATGTTTCTATTTTTGTTTACTTTGTGACCACGTCAATGTCGGGATGATAACAAGAAACAGAAAGTATGCGTATGACGAACATATGACGAACTGACGGGAAGTGGTTATGCATTTTTATTGAAAAAAATTAATTCAATTGATCGTGCCCGAAAAAATTTAGGAATTAAATCCGACTTGAAGAAATATAATGAGGCAATTCACGCAGTCCTTGGTAACTTTATAAAATCCATAAACTTTAGAAATTTTATATATATTAAATGAATATTTTACATATTTTGGACATACTTTAGACTTAATTTAGGTAAATTGCTTGGGTTGACTGATTTGAAATTTTGAAAATTCACTCGCATGGGTCAGTAAAAACTGGGTAAATTTCGTAAAATATTTGTACATTGACAATACGGCAATTCACGCAGTCCTTGATAACTTTGTAAAATTATTGATCGAAAGCATCGCAAGTGAATATTTTATGTTTTCGACTATCCTAGTAATTAATTTAGGTTCGTACACGAGGTAATATTTATTTGAAAATAAAATTCACTCGCATTGGTCAATAAGAACCTATTAAACTCCGTAAAATCTTTGTATATAGAAAATGAGGGAGAGCTTGGCAACTTTGTAAAATTCGTGCGTTTTGTAGCATAATTTTACAAACTTGTACAAAATAAAGAGACGCCTTTGATCTGAGCAAGTTTACAAAAGTTTGTGAGCTAATTTTCCTTCGAAATGCCTTTACAGAATTTTCGGATTTTACAGTTTTGCATGAATTGCCTAAATGAGTCGTATTTCATTCTGTTAATTGGCAAAATTTTGCCCAAACGACTAAACAAAATTGCGACAAGCTAAATGAAATTCTCGTAATTTTCGAATCATAACGAATGAGCTGTTTTAAATTTAAGAAATCGCAAAATTCTACATTGACGTGTTATCATTTTTTAGAATACCAATTTTGTATTTTTATTTATTGATCACATTTACACGCCATTTACAAAAATATTAACAAGCACAGAGTGACCACTAAAATTAAAAGATCAAGTGTTTCCGTCGATTAGTGATTTCGGCAAGATTGTAAAATTTTCTTAGTTATTACAAATTTTTTTATGAAATATAAAGTGCGTAACTGGTCACCATCTACACGCTTTCATCACCATCCACATTTTTTTATCTTCATAAAAATGCCTTCATAAAATGATTGCAATATTGTAAACTTTGTAAATTTGTAAAATTTTCAATTCAATTTTCTTGAAAGCATTTTGCTAAAATCATTTTCAAGTTTTCTTCACTGATCGAGTTTTGATATCATACAATCAGCTCTAATTAAAGTATTTCTTTCTCAATAATTTATAAAATTAGAAGGGAATTCACGTTTGTAGAATGCAAATTTACAAGTTTACAATAAACCAGTCAAAATGTGTTAAAAATTTCATTTGAAAAAAATTCCGTAATATTCTGAAATATTGTTACCATTAAAAATTCACCAAATTAAACGAAGACCCACTTGGAGTAACCATTTACCTGAATTTTAATAAGGTGCATAAAAATTCTATTTTCTCCAAATGTCGCTAACTTTTCACAAAAGAATATAAAAATTGCCTTGAAAATCTAATTTTTTTCGTTTAATTTAGGATACTAACGCCATTTACATAAAAATTATGCCTCGAACGAATTAAAAATTTCAAAAATTTGAACCACATCAACCTTATTTTCTGCCAGAATTTTTTACTGTTCACAAACACATCTCACACTAAATCTTCCTCATTGAAACTGTATCCTGTCTGCTAAATGAATACGTAATTAAGTTGACAAACCCTACGAAAATGATGGTAATTAATATGGATGATAGAAAAAAATGGTTGCATTTCATCTCATGATGATGAGGTACGGAAATTGGGTAAATTAGTGATTAACTGGCTGGTTGAGGAGTGCGGATGAGCAGAATGGGGTGTGAAAATCGTGTCGTTAATGGTGGCTAATTGGGACGTGATTAACTGCACTTTAAAAAAACACAAGGGTGGCGACAAGATTTATGTCGGTGTAATTTACGACCGAAACACAGAGCCTCGTAATTTATGGGCTTCTTGTTCTGTTTACACTGGAAATAATGTGGTAATAAAATTGTGACCGAGTTTGGTAACGATTTGGTAGGAATACAGATAATTAAGTTCAAGTTTATGTATTACTTGTGAGACGTGAGAAACTGAGTTCAGTTTTGGTAATAAATTTGAATTTGGTGGAAAATTAGGCTACCAAAGCAAATTTACCAATTTGGTCGTAATTAACGTTGGTAACAATTTTGGTAGCAGTAATTATTACCAAAATTCAAATTCTTTATCATCTCGACTTATCTAAACAATTAGAAATCGATCCAAATTTGGTATCAAATTTGAATTTCGTGGTAAATTATACTACCAAAGTGTACCAATTTGGTCACAATTAATTAATCTTGGTAACAATTTTGGTAGTAATAATTATTACAAAAATTCAAATTCCTTACCATTGCGACTTATGCAAAAAAAAATATATTTACAATTTCGTGAAAAATAATACTACCAAATCGTTACCAATTTTGCTACCATATTTTTAAGAGTGATATTGCAGTAGCAATTACACTTCGAAAATTACAATTCGTAAGGTCAGACGAACAACTAGCCTTATTTTGCACCGTTTAAAATACAAAAAAACTGGACCACAACCGGACCAATCTGGTCCACGATGGTCTCCTCCGAACAAATTTATGCGAGAAAGGTATGAATATTTATTTCCACAATTTTTTATATAACTCGGTCCACAACCTCATTTAAAAGTCAGGATTTTGAAATGGGGATTTTAAAAAGCAGATTTCTATGCAAATCAGAAAATAAATTGGTATTGTAATTGCGTGTGAGAAATTGTCTCAGATTTTTGTTTGAGAATGGAACACGAGGTGAAGGAATTTTTTGGAAATTTTGTGAATATGTAAATACGGAAGAAAATTGAGATTTGGAAATTTTGAAATGTAGAATTCTCATTAAGATTCAATTGTAAGACAAGTGACATTTTGGCATCTAAAATTTATAAAAATTTGTTAAATTGCGTAAAACTCATAATTTTCTCAACAAAAATAATTTTTTTTGTTAATTTGAAATTTTTTTTGCCATATGTTCCCATCAAAAATTAAACCACTTGAAAGACCTCCACAAGACCTATGGTTATGTTTAACATGCTACATACAAAGTCAATTTTCTCAAAATGTTGCAAAGGTTTTACATTTCACCATTTTTTGAAACTATGTATTTAGATAAATAAGTAATTGTGCCTTGAATGGACTAAAAATTTCAATTTTCAAAAATTTGAACCATAAGTATCTCCATTTCGTTTAACACCCATTTAAATAAACTTGGAAAAACCTATGAAAAATCTTGAACAAATCTATAAAATTTGTTGACCTGACTTGCATAAAATTCAAAATTTTCTCACAACGTGACCAATTTCTAGGTAAAAATGTATCCTAAAAATAAACTAACGTAGTTCGAAAATGACAAATTTCGAAAATTTATACTATGAAGATTCCAATTAAATATGGTTGATCCAAGTAGAAAATTTATCAATATCTTTAAAATTAGTCAAAGTATGAGAAAATTCAAAATTTTCTCATAACGTCATCAATTTCTCCCAAAGCACAAAAATCTGTCCTCAAAATTCCTCCATTTTTTGGAAATCTTATCCCATCAAAGTAGAAATTATCCTTTGCATGCATACATACAAAATTTGAGATTTTCAAACTTTGAAATATAATTTCCACAAACAAATCTCTCACCCAAAGGCTTCTAAAAATCTATGAAAGATTTTGTTTCAGCTCATAAAAATTCAAAATTTTCTCACAACGCCACCGAAACTCGTCAAAAATAAAAATCTGTCCTCAAAATTATTGTTTTTCCCAAACTACATAATCCCATTTACATAAACTGCAAAACATCCTTCTAATTGAATTTGGTCTGCTCTGTTACATAAAATCTCACCACGAAAAGATAAATGAGTGTAAAAACTCTGTCGAAATTTTTTCCCAAACAAAGAAAAAACCGTGTAAATTAGCTCCCAACATTCTCATCAATGTCATCACGTCATGTCTCGTCTCACATTGTCACCTTAGTTTTTTTGCCAAAATTTCCAAAAAAAGTCCCCAAATTTTTATCCATGTGTCTCATTGTCACTTTAGTGTCAATTTTTGCCCAAAATTTCCGAAAAGGCTCGAATTTTTATCGATATCAAGTCTTATCTAAGTTTATGGTATTTTCTGCTCAAAATTTCCAAAAAAGTCTCGAATTTTTATCGAAATCGTCTCATCTAAGTTTATGGTATTTTTTGCTCAAAATTTCCAAAAAAGCCTCGAATTTTTATCGATATTTCCTCATTTTAATGTCCTTATTTCCCAAAAATTTCCAGAAAACCCCCCTCAAAATTTCCATTCATCACATGCGCTCACCTCCTCTCGGCATTTTACCCGCGATATGTGCCTTCTTCATCCACGGAAAGATAACGGGTTGCCCATCTTCATCGCCCACAATATCGTCCCCCCCATCCTCCTCGTCCTCCTCCTCCGAATCCTCATCCAGCGTCTCATCCCCCTCCAAATCATGCAGTCCTTCCGTCTGCTGCGAGGAAATGCAGTGATTCGACAGGCTCGACGAGTCCCCTCCATCCAACGGATCACTTTCCCCCCCTCCCCCACACCCCTGCCCCCCCTCACTCACATCACTCACAAACGTCACAAAATTCCCGCCCCCATGCGGACTACCATTATTTTCCCGGGGTGGTAACAGCCCCCCCAAAACGACCGGAGTAAGAGGTGACTTGTTGGCTAAATTGAGCTGTTGTAAACTGATCGGAGATGACGTACTGGTCGGTATCGTGGAGGTTGTCGAAGGGGGTAAATTATTATTCAGGTGGTACTGAGGGGGACTAGAAAGGTGGTCATCCGCCGCGTAGTAGGGCGTCGTTCCCGAACTTGCCGCCGACGCCCCCGCCGAACTCGTCGAATTATTGTAACTCCCGCCGCCCCCATTATAATTGTAAAACTGTGCCGATGGCGGTGGTGGAACCCCTCCCCCCGCCGAATAGTAATGATGATGGTGATGATTCAAGGGTGCGTACTGACTTTGGGGGTGGTTTAAGTGGTGATTTAGGTGGTGGTGGTGGTGTGGGACTGGGTAATAATAGTCGGCCCCGGTCCCAGGACCACCGCTTGTCGGGGTCCCCACGAAATAATCGTCCCCCAGCGGTGGGGGAAACTTGGGCTCGGGTGGGAGGTACTGGGGGGGCAAGTTGTTGTGGTGGTGGTGGTGCTGATGGTGTGGCGGGTTCGACGTGTTGGGATTCATAGAAAGGAATGAGCTCATCCTTAAAGGACGGGGACGCGGAGAAAGCGTTGGTCTTGGATTTTAGTGGCGTCGTGCTTGCCTACTTTTTGGCTGTGGCCGAGGTGAAGGGAGCCCGAAGAATGATGGATGAGTTTTCTTCTGGGCTCTCTTTGGGCTGATTGTGTAGCAGCGCAGGAGGAGTTTCATACTATTCGTTCAGTCAAACCAGCCATGAATCATATTCTCAGAGAGAGAGAGAGAAGAGTGACAGGGAGAAAGCACCACCATGAACGAACGTACCAGAGTATGTACCATGCTATATTACCAACTGACCCCCTCAACCAAATAGTGGTGTGATGATACAGCGTCCAAATTTTGCTCTGGTCTGGTCTGGTCTTATTTGGTGCTGCGGGCTGCTGCTTCGTCTTTGATTATCAATCAATTCAATAAGTCTGTCACATTATTATCATCAAAAGTGAGATAAATAATGTGCCAGAGTTGTAGTGGTGTTGGCGGCGTTAAAAGAGCAGCACCTCGAAGGAATATTGATAATCGGTTTAGGTAGGTGGTAGGTTTTTTGGGGGGGTTTTAAAACATTTTTACACTTTTTTTATGGGATGGTGTAGTGATTGTGGGGGTAGGGTGAATTTGGGGTTTGGAAATTTTGAACAGTTGGATATTAATTTTGAAATTTTGATTTAGATAGATGGGAATTTTGTGGGATTTTTGTAAATAGTTTTTTGGCGAGGTTTTTAAAATAGTTTTAATTTTTTTAAGGGACAGTTTTGTATTTAGTGAGTGACTTTGTGATGGTGGTGGTAAAGTGAGGCACAATAAGTCGGTGTGATTTGGGAATGACAAGAATTTGTATTTTTGGAGAAATGGATACTTTTCGCGTCATTTTAAATTTGTAGAATTTTTGTATCTGATTTTATAATATTATTTTCAGATTTAGAATTAATAAGGTTTTTCTATTAATGATATTAAGCTAATTAGTAAATAAATAATTAAGTACATTTTAAAATTTGAATGTAAATTGGAAAAAGGTAAATTCACGAGGGAAAAATTTCGGGTTTTAGAACCTAAAGCCGAATAAAATCTTTGTAAAGCTAAAACCGACCCAAAACCATTTGATTGTTAAGGTTTGTCAAAAATTGACGTGAACCTTAATTTCTGAAACCCGGTCCGGATTCGGGTTTACAATGAATCTGCCATGTAAATTTAGGTTTGGAAATTTTGAAATTTATGAGACATACAATTTTTTTTAATTTTAGGCACTTATTTTATCAGGCTTTGAAATACTTTTACTTTTTAATTAATGGAAATATTTAAATAACGGTTTCGTGAGTGACTTGGTTGTAAATTTGGGATTTTGAAGAAACCGTAATTTTTACGATGTTCTCATTTTGTTTGGACATTTGGGATATTAAAATGTCTCAGATTTTTTTTGTTTTGAGTGACTTTCTGACACTGGGAAAGTGAGCCCATTTGTCAGTCAGGGAACAATTGACGAGTGAGTGGGCACATGTCAATACAAATAATGCACCGGACCTCCCATCACTCAGTTAAGGGGGTAGATTTATCTTTCTACGTGTTAAATATGACGACTCAATCATCAAGAAAAATGGGTAAAATTATGTCTACAAACAAAAGCTGAACCCTTTTAAGTACATTTCAGACTTTTCGTGAGAAACTTTGCATGACAGGATTAACGAAGAGTTTTGTAATTGTGCAAGTTTTGTAAAAGTTAATAAAATTTGGCAAATGTTTCTGAACGAAAATTTATGGAATGTGTATGAATTTTTATTTTTCTAAGAAATTTGTTATACAAAATTCTTATTAGTTTTTGTAAAGTTAGTAAATTTACAAAATTTCAACAATGAATAATTTCACGATGCAAAAATTCTCTACACTTGTTAAAATTTTACAAACTTACACCATTACAAAAATTGTTACAGAATATTTTGTAAAGTTTGTAAATTAAGGTTATAAAATTTGAATAAATTGATCACGAATTTCAAAATTTACATACAAAATTCCAGTTTTTTTATTTTTTTAAACTCTCGAAAATAATTTTAGGAGCTTTACACCCTTATAAAGCTTGACGTGAACTTGATTTTCATTCTGTTGAATTTTACAATTTACAAAATTTACATTTAAAAAACTACAGCTTTTTCATAATTTTGCTACAAAAATTCTGTTAAAAATAATTTTACGAATTTTACAAAACTTGACGTGAATAAAACAAAGCTTATTATTTTCCTTCCTTGTTCCCCGAGTGGACACACTTCTTCCCTCGAGAAAAGAGGACAAAAGTGGTCTGTTTCCTATTTTACGTAAAGGACAAAAGGCCTCTGTTTCGTTCCGTTGCGTGGAAAATAAAGAAGAATTGAGGAGAAAAAAAAGCCGAGACGGATTAAATTACAGGAGAACAAACCGGGACACGTGTTCCCAGTCTCATTTGCATTCTCAACCAGCCTTTCACCTTCCTTGGCCCCGAACATAATGAGATTTTCGGAAACAACACGTTTTTTTGGGTCATGTTATTGATTATTGATTTTCACCCGTTTTATTTAACCAAGGGAAATTTGTAAATATGCGATGGAAAGAAGTCGAAAGTGTATATTTTACATATTTTGGATTGAATTTAGATTTTAGGTGTTGTACTAACTAATAGATTTAAATGGATTTCAAATTTTGCAAATTCACTGGCATGGTTCAATACAAATTGAGTAAAATTCATAAAAGTAAAAGTAAATGTCATACAATTTTTGTACATAGAAATAAGAAATTTCCAGGATAAATTTGTAAATGTGCGATGGAAAGCGTCGAAAGTGAATATTTTACATATTTTGGATTCGTTGTATAATTAAATTAGGTACTTACTCTAGGAATTCATTTGTACTTGAAATTTTGGAAATTCGTTGGCATGTTTCTGTAAAATCTGAATAAATTTCTTACAATTCGTGTGCATAGAAAATGATGCAATGCAATTTACGCAGAGCTTGACAACTTTGTAAAAGTATTTATTATTGATTTCCATCCGTTTAAACTAACAGAAATTTTTAAATGTGCAATGGAAAGAAGTCGCAAGTGAATATGTTACGTATTTTGGATGTATTTTAGACTAAATTTAGGTAAATCAACGGGATAGCGTTTTGACGGTAATTCAACCACATGTTTCTTCACTAACAACTGAGTAAATTTAGTAAAATTTGTGTACATAGAAGATAAAGAAATTCACGCAGCCCTTTGTAACTTCGTAAAATTATTAATTTCCACCCGGAAAAGGTTTTAACTAGCAGAAATTTACAATGGAAAACGTCACAAGTGAATATTTTACATATATTGGATTAGCCTTAGAATTAATTTAGGTAAGTATAACTTGTTTGGGGAAAAGTGAATATGTAAAATTTTGAAAATCCACTATCATGTTTCCTAAGTAAAAACTGAGTAAATTAGCTTCCAAAGGGTTATAAACATACTCCAATTCCAATCCACAATAAAAAATTTGTAAAATTATTTTACAAAACGCACATATTTTGTAAAGTTATCAATGACTGCGTGAATTGCCTCGGATGTCGATTTTAAAACCTCATTTTATTAAAAATTCTCACACTCTCGAAAAAATTGTGCACCACTAGTTGATTAAAAAAAAGTTGATAAAATTTTCTACAACGTTGGACAAAATTTTTACTCCACAGACTTGAAATTTACACAACAACGTTGTGTAATGTTTGCTTTGGTCAACCTTGCGCAAAACTTGATATTTTTGTTGACTAAATCTAATTTTCATCATTATTGGGCAATTAGTTCCCAAAAGTTGAATAATTTTTACTCAACACTTGTAAAAGAATTGGCTTTTTGAAGGTAGTGTAAAATTCAGCCAACTTTCAGTTTACTTTTTACACAATAGTTGTGTAAAGTTTACTCTCGCGACGTCGCGTCTCAAAAGCAGCGTGGATGGCGCCACTTATATACTGACGGTTGACGAAAGGATTGTCAGGAAATTAAATCCTTTCTCTTTTCCTGTAATTTTCCACCAAAATGACCGAAAATTTGGAAAAAGCTTTAAAAAATACCGGATTAATCCAATATAAGGACAAGTTCCAAGGTAAAGTAGCTTTGGTTAATTGTTGATAACTTTGATTGATTGATTTTATTTACCTAAGTTAAATATTACTACCTTTAATATTTTTTTTGCAATTATTTTTTATAGAGAACGATGTCGACGACACAATCTTCTTCAAGTTGTTGGATAGTGCCGCTGGGTCAGTGGAAGAACGTTTGTTGGCAGAAATAATTCCGTCCGTTGGTCACCGATTTAAATTAATTTCAGCTGGTAGAGAGGTAAGCAGGTCAAGGTTAGAATTAGGTCAGGTTATCTCACTAGACTTTGCCTGTAGTATTTGCGGAAGTACTTTTAATTCCTTTCAAGTATATTGGAATCACATTAGAGAATTTCACGAAATAACGAAAGGAAAAGCTAGATTAAATTGTCCTTTGTGTACAATGATTTTCACAGACTCGGAAAATCTTCAAAAACATGTCAACAGAAAAGTTTGTCCAGTATTTCAAAAAATTTCAATTAAGTTTCCCCAGATTTCCCCTAATGAAGAGAATGAAATGGGAAGAAATATTGAGCAAGAATTATTTTCACCTGAGGTCATTCGTGAAATCCATGAGGATTACAAGTTGGCTTTTATAAAATCATTACAAATGTCAGGTGGAATTTCATTATCAAAATCAAATGAAATTTTAATGGCTGCTAATTCATTAGTAAATAGTATAATTGCAGTTGCCACAAACTTTTCTGTCAATAATACAAGTCAGGATCAACTTTTAACCCACCTTAATAGTTTAAAAAATCCATTTCCAAAAAATAGTTCATCCCAATATAAACTGGAAAAACTTTTAAAAGAACGATCTTTATTAGTCGAAGCAAAGGAAATAAAATTAGGGTCTCACTTTAAATTCGACAAAATTAAAGGAATGATGCAAGAAAAAATTGACAACGCTTACCATTTTCAATTATCTGAAACTCTACCGACAATTCTATCGAAATATTACAAAGTGGCAGATAGTATACAAGTAAATTCAAGTTCAGAATATTTTGAGAACTTTAAGTCAGGTTCACATTACAATAATTTCAAAAACAATCCTCTTTGCTTGCAGATTTATTACGATGATGTTGAAATTTGTAACCCGTTGGGATCGAAAGCTAAAATACACAAACTCGCGATGTTTTATTTTATTATAGCCAATTTTCCTAACCATTCAAATCGCAAACTTGAAAATATTTTTCCACTTATAGTTGTTAAATCCAAATTTGTAAAAGAATACGGAATGAATTTAATTTTACAACCATTGGTTTATGAATTAAACTCGCTGCATGAAAATTCTCAAAGACTAAGCTTTTTAGAAAACACTCCTTTTAGTCATATTCAAGTTCTCCAGTTCTGTGGCGATAATTTAGGGATGCATACAATTTTTGGCTTTGCTGAAAGTTTTAATGCGAATTTCAGATGTCGTTTTTGTAAACTAGATAGGGAACAAACTTTCACAGCTATTGAGGAGTCGGTAAATAGAAGGCGAAATTTAGAAAATTATGAAAGGGATTTAGAAGTTGGAAACGTTAGTTTGACGGGAATTAGAGAAAGGTCAATTTTAAATGATATTAAAGGATTTAATGTTACAAATAATTTTGCCCCTGATATTATGCATGATATTTTGGAAGGAATTTGTGTCACTGAATTGAAGTTGTTTCTGAAACATGTTACTCAAAATCGTATTTTATCAGTTAGTGAGATTAACCACAGGCTATCGTCTTCTTTCAACAAGAATGGTCATGCAATATCAGTTTCCAGAAATAGATATTGCTTTTATTAATGGGGAGAGAAAATCTTGTTTTTCTGCATCAGAGACAAGCCATTTTTTCCTAATTTTTCCTGCAATATTTGGAGATAAGTTCAGCATGTCGAATAAGCACTGGGATTTAGTTTTAAAACTTCGTCGAATATTACGAATTTTATTGGCACCACAAATTAGTAGGTCAGGTGTGCATTTGTTAAGTTATTTAATAGCTGAGCATCATCAGGCCTTCATTAGTTTGACAAATAATAATTTAACGCCAAAGTTTCATCATTTACTACATTATGCTCACGCCATAGAGCAGTTAGGCCCGTTGAAACAATACTGGTGTATGCGATTTGAGGGAAAACATCGTCTTGCTAAAACAATTGGAAAAAATTGTTATAATTTTAGCAACATTGCAAAAACAGTTTCAAAGAGAATGTCACTTAACTTGGCATTTTTAGTTGGATGCGAAATAGAGGGGGATATAACTTACAAATCTGGCTCACTAATTGCATTTAAGGATATGAAAATATCTTTTGACTTTTCCAAACTTTCCAAAAATGAGTTGGACGAGGTGCTTTGTGTTGACTCGGTGACCGCCAAGGGTACCAAAATCAAACCCAATAATTATTTCATTTTGAAGGTCCCATCACTTAGTTCACAATTTTGTCAAATTATCATGTGTCTAGTTCACAATAGCAAAGTTCATTTAGTTGTCAGGCCGGTAAAATGTGAGGAACATTTTAGTTATTCGTACGTGTTTAAAATAATTGACTTTGATAATGCGTTATTAGTGGACTTGGACGCCATAGATTTGGAGTATCCATTAGTAATTGTGAATAATATTGAAGACCCGCAAGGTCATGGGTTCATTTGTTGTCCCATTGAGTTAATCTGAACAAAGTTTTGACTCTATGTACGTATGTAGGCTAAAATAGTGTTTAATCTTAAAATAAGTAGATTTTTTACGCATATATTTAGTTAGATAAGCAGACTTTTGAAACTGACCAGCGAGCACTAGGAGATATGCCGGACGTTATTTTGGTAAAACTATTACCAATTTTATGTTAAACTCTTGCGAATTATGCAATTCTGTAAAATCGTCTTAAATCTACATATGTTTTTTTACAGGGCAATTCCAGCGATATTGATTCCGGAAGTCGACACCGTCTTCCTAACGAGAGTGGACCGGAAGTTGAAATTTCGTTTTTATCTTTCGATCCCCTATTCGTAAGTAGATAGGATTGTAATACAATTTTAATTGTGATAATAGGTATTTAATTATAAGTTTCTGTAAATTAGGATATTAAGCAAATCATCTTAAGTTCTGACCAGGAAAAGGGGACAAAAAAGGGAGAGAAAATCTTGCAAGAATGTTTGGAATCCAACGCCATCACATTTGAAGTAAAAAGTCTGATTAAACGACGAATTGTTAATTATCTTGTGAAGCAATATACTTATTTGTAAGCTAAATTTATAAAATAATTAATGAATTAATAATCTACATTGTGATTAAGTTTTTTTGAACATTTGTATAGTCCGCCCAAAAACGTAAAGCAAAACTTGGCAGAATTTGTAGCTGCACAACTTTTTCAAAACTTAAGGCTTGAGCAACAGAGAGACATTGTGGTACTTAAATATAAAAACTAACTAATTTCCTAGCCGTTTTTAATTATTTTGATTTGTTCTTTTACAGAATCTTTTTTACCGCGAGTCCCGGATAATTAATTATAAATCAGATCTTCATAAACGAACTCCTGCGTCAGGATTAATTGAAGATCGATTGAAATATTTAAGGAGGAAGCACCAATGTGGGAGGGCAAGTATTCCCAAGGTTGTTAGCAGTTTAATGTCGGAAAGTATGTATTTTCTTTTGTTACTAATTGTGATAAAAAGACGCTAAAATCTATTTTTTATAATTAAAGGTCCCTGGGAGAATGAACAGGAAAAAAAGTCGTGGCTTTGCTACTCATCTACTCCCTTTGATCAAGTTGCCGAATATATGGCGCAGACCTTCCGATTGAGGTGAGAAGAGTTGCTGAAAACCGTTGACTTGTCGGAAACACTAAGCCAGTGGCCCCGGCTAATTGATACTCCGGGGATGGTGATATTTTAATTTCCATCAGTTCAGTTCAATTTAATGCAAAATTTAACTATTTGCTACATGTATTGTTTAATAGATTGACCAAGATTTCTCGGCACGACACCCGGGCGTAAGTGAAACTATGCTTCATAAGTGGGCGTCAATTTCTAAGCAAATTTGGAAGTTTGCAAAAAATGCAATACTGGACGTTCCCCGGGAAATTGGAATTATCCATAACATTAGTGACTGGTCTGAAGGTAATTATTATGAAATTATTTGCATTTATACAATGATTTAATTTTGTTAAAATTTGCTCTTCAGTTTTATAAATAATTTGTACGATTTTTTATATTCACAGAACAAATAAATATCGGCTCATTAATTGTTCTTCCGTACTTGTTATCAAAATCTGCGTATACTAAAGGCAGCAAAAAAAGGCGAAAAATAACCGCCGGTCAATCCTCGGAGTTTTTTATTCAATTTGTGAAAGTAAGTTTACTCTATTCTACTGATAATGTTGTTTCAAAATCGTTCACAGTGAGGTAATTTGCTCCTTGTAAATTTTTTCAGTCAAATGATGATTTAGAAGAATTCCGGATGTCAGAATCATTGAGGAAGCAGCCATTCATTTTATGTGTAGGAAATTTGAAGAATCTTGAAATTCAACAATCCTACATCATGGTGGAAAGGCGCCTAATACTAGCAGAATCTCTGGTCAAAGCAGTGGATATGTGTTTCAAGATATTCCACGTCCTGCAGCTACAATTTCCAGACGAGTGTTCTAGTGTTTGGTGCTTCTTCGACCACTCCGTGTTTCGAATCAAGGAAATTAAGTCGCCCTCATCGTCCGTTTTATCTCTAGCATCTCAAATTAATTTGGAAGATGGAGAACAAGACAATTAACTCGTTTAGCCTTAATTTATATAACTCACGTACTTATTTATGTTACAAAGATTAATTTTTCCGCAGTTGTAGAATTCGTGGCAATATTTCATGTCAGTATTAATGAAGCGCTTAAATAATTTATAGTTATTATTAACATAATTAAAAGTATTATTAATTACCTGATTAATGTAAATTGCGATGGGGTAAATATTAGTTAGTAAAAGTACGTTTTAATTATTTAAAAGGCATATTTTAATCAACATTTGGTGTAAACTTTGATCAACAAAGGAATAAATTTAATTAAACCAAAGAGTAAATTCTGGTCGTTCATTTTAACAATTATTAGTTATTTATTGCATGATTTTTAGTTTTTGTTGTGCATTTTTTAGTTTTGAGTTGAGTTAATTTTATGCAACGTATTGGACAAATTTTACTCAATTGTTGTATAAAAGGATTAATCAACAGAGTTTAGTAAAAGTTAACCGATGGTTGTGTCATCCTCCTTTTTCACCAAGGTTGGACAAAATTTTACACAACCTTGGACAAATTTTGTACAATTTTTTCGAGAGTGCATCCCTCCTTCTTAACACACACAAAAATGCTCTCCTGCTCCATCAAAGTCAGTCAGCGAGTCGAATTATGTGTAAAAAAAAGTATTGACCAAAACTAAATAGAATTCTTCTCCTTATTATTATTATGGCTGCCATCCCACATTTCATACACGCATGACGTCGATACGGACCGTCGTCGTCGTCATAGAAGCAGTGACCGCGGAACAGAGGGACAATGTCCTCACGGTTATTCGTTGTCCTCATCATCTGCCCATGTTATACAAACCCATCCCTTCGCTATCCTGCAATGTTAATGTCCCCACTCATAGTTTCCGCGGCCACTGTATTTACATGTTCCATGTACCAAAAAGAACAGTGCCAGCGGAAGGCGTGGGGACAGAGGGACAATGTCCCCACGGGTATTCGGTGTCCCCATCATCTGCCCATGTTATATAAACCCGGCCCTTCCCTTATCCTGCAATGTTAATGTCCCCACTCATCGTTTCCGCGGCCACTGGTCGATCTCCTCGAACTGAAAAGGTTTTCGGGTTTGACTAGTTGTAAAGCTGAACTGAAATCAAAACAGCTCATCCGATCAAGTCAAAGCAAGTGCAGATCGAGCTTGTTTTGTGTGATGTGAATAACTCAAGCCAAACTCATGTCAAATAGTCAACTCGTCAAAATTAGAAAAAAGAGAACGAGTGAGTGAGAGAGCGACGGGTTTGGTTGGATCGTATTGAATGAATTCGGTTGAATATCTAACATGACATGTTTCGCTTAAAAAGACTGGTTTTTAGGCTGGCTGGTGAAGTTGTGAGGGAGAAGGATTTTTAGAAATTTTTGGAGAATTTTGACGATTTTTCGAATCGAAAGCTGTAAAGAAATTTTATTTTAATCTTATTTTCTAGGGGGGTTGAGGCAAGGTGTTAGAATGTGGAGGAAAAAAAGATTCAGCAATTTTGGAAAATTTTATAATTTTGTTCAAAATTGAGAAAATGGAGAAACAAATTTTAGGATTTTAGAACGAATGAAATTGTGTCAAAACTTTGAAATAGATTGTTATCCAGCATTAACTTTTTTTTAGTATCTATTAAAGCTTTGTAACAGTAAATTTGCATAAATTCATACAAAATTGCAAAAAATGTGCACACAATTTAACCCGAAAATTCACCTAATACAAATTTCACATGATTTTTTCTACATTTCTGAATTTTTTAGAACAAGAACGATGGGCGTTGCAGGTTTAAAACAATAATTTTGTTAACTGGACTCATGTATCGATTTCAGTTCCAATTTATCGATACGAAGGGAGATATAAAAGGGCATCAATATTGTGAATGAGCGACGAAAAAGGCGACCTCGGCGTGTACATTAAATTTTTAATGAGCTTACCCCCGTTGAAAACTTCTTGGTTTGTTCCTAGTCTCGTCAACATTTTAGAGAATTTTCAACGATGAGCAGTGGAGTCGAGTCAATCGTCTAGCAGGAGAGAGATCACTCATCCATCCATCCTGGATGGATGGACCAGGGTTATGAAACTGTGAACTTAATGAATTTAGAATTTAATGAATTTCATGAATTTGCAGGATTTACCGAATTTAAAAAATTTAATGAATTTAATGAATTTACAGAGCTTACAAAAATTACCGAGTTTACCGAATTTACAAAAATTACTGAATTTATTTATCCAGCATAAAGAGTTTACTTAATTTACCAAACTTACAAAAATTACCTAGTTTACCGAATTTACCTAGTTTATCCAGTTTATCGAACTTATTTACCCAATTTACAAAATCCTTTGAATTTACCTAGTTTACCAGCTTATCGAGTTTACAGCTTCTTGAAATTACTAAATCATAATATAAGACTCAATAGAGCATTTATCTAAATATTTTGCTATGCATTAACTATTATTAATCATATTTTGTAAATGGTGTGTACATGTAACAAATAAAGATGTGCATTGTAAAAAATTGTCTATATTGCATGACAGACTGAAACGATTTCTTAAATAAGCAGCTCATTCGCTACATATTATGATTCGAAAATTCCTACATTTTCATTTAGCTAATGACGATGCTACTCGTTTATGCAAAATTTTACCAATTAACAAAAAATACGACCCATAGAGTTAATTCACCTAGTCCGTGGGAACTTGTACAATCCGTAAATTCCTTAAACTTACAGACTTTTACAAACTTTTTTTAAATATTCCGAAAGAAAATTAGCCCCCAAATTTTTGTAAACTTACTCTGATCAAGGGCGTCTCCTTATTTTGTAAAACTTTGTAAAATTATGCTACAAAAAGCACGGATTTTACCAAGGACTGCGTTAATTGCCTCATTTTCTAGCTACACAAATCTGTCGAAATTTAACCAGTTCTTATTGACAACTGCGAAAAACTTCACATACACGCGTCCAGAGACTATACACCTGATTTAGCTCTAAAGTTAACCAAAATATGTAAAATATTCACTTACGACGCTTTCCCTTACAAATTTCTGTTAG